GCAGAGGTGGTTCTCCAGCACGCTGCTCTGCTGGCAGCTGCCATCTGCGCTGAGGCTCGCTGTGTTTGTACACGCACTGCAGGCCTCCCTGTTTTCCGGGGGTTGGATCAGCGTTTGAGCTGAAGGAGCGTCCCCAGGGTCATCCATTTAGACATGAACATTTTCCAGGACAGTTTATCGTTGCACAGTGACTGTCTGGCATGGGTTTCTCACCCGGGAACCAGACATAGGCTGCGGCACTTTGGCACACAATATTTTCCTCCGTTCCCTCTGGTAGTCTTAACTCTTTGCTGCCTGAACTGCATGCTCAGCTTCCCAGAAGGGAGTAGAGCTGGCCCTGACATTTGTGCTTTATTATTTATGGAAAGGACTTTGCCAGATATCATTAAAGACCGATTGGGATGAATGTAAGCATTTGTGCTGTCAGAACTTATTCACGGATCTCCATTTTCCTGGGACAGGTGTGGCCGATGCCTTCTGAGCTCTTTGTTCTGAGTTCAGGCCTTGCCATTTCTCTGGAGGTACATGGGGGATCTGGGAAGCTGTTTTCTTTTCCATGCTGACCCTGACAGTACAGGAGCTGAAATACTTTCCTTCCCTGTTACCTCATTTCTGGATTGCTACAATTAAACTGGAGATAATATCAGGAAGCTGTTGATGAACAGTGTCTTTGTGAGCACCCAGATGTAAGGCTTTTTTTTTTTTTTTTTTTCCCCTGAAATTGATTTCTCCTCCCTGGGAGATTTGTTTGCGATTCTTTAGCTTTATTCTCCTCTGCTTTAGTTTCTGTTCTCCGCTGCTGTTTACTTCTGTTCTCCTTTGCTTCATATGCAACTTCCAAACCTGGGACTTTGCAGATAACACCTCTCCACTCTCATCCTTGTATGGCTCCCAACGGCTTTACCCCTTTGTCACTCTCTATAATATACACTCCTAAGGCAGAAGCACGTCTGTATTTATTGATGTAATTCTGATATGCTGTAGTGATTTAGCAGCGATGAAACAAGACTGGCAATGGCTGGATACACTTGGTTATTTCCTGCATAGAGGATAGGGTTACACACACACACCTACAGGAGAGCTTCCGGTTGTGTCACAAGGGTCAACGTGAATAATCACCATGCAGTTACATATTGATAACTACAACAGCAACAAAGGAAATACTGAGAAGCGTGAATTTCTGGTGGGATTTTTATGCACAGCAGACTCATAAACGCCCCAGAGTCAGTGCTGGCAAGCAGGCATCAACCAGCAGGGAGAAAACCAGTTCCTGTGTTGGTGCACTGCATGGTGCCACCAGTTTGGGCTAATAGATGACTCCCTGGTTACTCCTTTACAATTTTGGATTTTCCATTCAATTCCCATAAACATTTTGATGCTTTCGTCATTGATATATGTTTTGAAAATAAATAAGCTGTTCTCAAGTTTATTTTGAATGAAAATATCCCTTCATAATTTTCAGGGTTTTGTAAAAGCACTCTTTGCTCCAAAGGAAGCTGTGGGCCCGGTGTCATTCAGGACCAAATTGCAGTTTCTCCCTGGGGAGGGACATAGAGTTGTTGAACGGGCACTGTGTAGAAAAATGGAAATGCTTTCATCTCCCCTGTTTGTCTCATTGAAGCTCCACTTCCACCCTCATTACCTACTGGCACATCCTCACAGCAGGCACAGCCTGCAGTGCCCAAGATGTGGGAAGTGCTTCAGCCAGAGCAGCAGCCTGGTCACCACCTCTGGCTTTATGTGGTGATGAACCTCACAAATCCCTTGAGTAGAGGAAGAGCTGTGGGGCAAAACTAAATCTATTCCCTCTTACCTGCATGTAAATTACCCTTACTGCCTACTTTCAGCTGCAGACAGGCTATTGTGTGGACATGCAAATGAGAGTCCAAAGTGGGATGTGTCACAGCCACTGGAAACTCTCTGCCAGGTGGCCCGTTTCTGCCAGGGCCGTGTGCAGGATAATGCCTGGGAAGTTACCTCTGAACTCCCCTGGAGAAACCCATCTGCTGTGGGGCAGCAGGTGAGGACCCAAAGGAAACCTCAGGTAGGCCAATATGTCACCAGGAAGGAAGAAATCCTGTCTGCAGGCAGTGTGGGAAGAGCTTCATCTGGAGCTCAACTCTCAGTAGATGCCAGAGAACCAACCCAAGACGAGAGTCCCAGTGAGTGCCGTGACTGCAGGAAGAGGTCTGTCCAGAACTGGGAGCTCATCACACACCGGTGGATCCACATGAGGAAACCTACAGATGTGCAGCCTGCAAGAAGAGCTTTGGGCACAGCTTGAACCTGCTGAGGTACCAGTGTCTGCACTTGGGTGGAGTCCAATCCATCCCTGCACCAGTGAGTTCACGTGGCAGGAAGCCTTAGAAATGCCTCGAGTGTGAGAAGGGCTTTGTGCAGAGCGCAGAGCTCCTCACTCACAGGAGATGGCACTGGTGGAAGAAGTGCTACAAATGTCCCATGTGTGGGAAGACCTTTTACCTGTGGATCCACTCAGTGCAGAGACCATGGAAATGCCTGCACTGCAGGAAGAGCTCCATCCAGAGCTCAGTAGTCATTAAACATTGCCCCATGCATGTGATAAAGAGGCCCTACAAGTGTCTCTGGTGCAGGAAGAGTTTCTCTCAGGCCTGGCACCTTGTTCCTCCTGGGAAAACCGTCCCTTGAGGGACCAGACCTTGAGGATGCTGGAAATGATCTGAGGAGAAGAAACCTTAGTTGACTAATTATAATGGTGAAATATAATTTAATTGGGATTTAAGCTAAGAAATTAAATAAATGCTAAAGACAGTGTTTTCTGAAACTGAATCTTTTGCTGTAGCAGTTAGCAGCCAGCAGCAAAAGAGAGAGATCCCGTGACCTCTGCTGTTTTATTTTTTCTGTCCCCCTGCAAGACAGAAAATTACAAAATGACATCTTCTGGAAGTGTAGTGTCTTCTCCTGGCCCTTGGGAGCTCTAGCTCATTCGTTTCAGAAAATGGAGCATTATCTCTTCACTCTTCGACTCCCATCACGGCATGCTGCTATGAATGCAGTGTTCTGATGCATGAAGAAAAACCATAAAACCATGAGACCTAGGAGCTTCAGATGGCCTTTCCTTGCTAGCAGAAGAAAGTCACCATGCCCAGCTTTCTCTTCCACTCTTCCTGCTTGCAGCTTTTTGATGTTGTTTCCTAAGGAAAGGGAGCTGTGTAGAAATGTTCTGTGTGTCTGTGTGCATATGTTATACCCAGTAATTTCTGAGTGCACTGATGAGTCAACTAAAGGGTGACGAAAGCAGTAACACAGCTCTTGGAGATTAACTGGAAATTACCTGCAGGGTAAGGAGGGGGAGAACATAGCTGAGTTGTCCTGGAGGTTTTGTTTTCCCTGTCATCTGGCTCTATGTTCTTAAAATGTGTGTGTGGAAAAAGGGGAGGAAAAGGTGGGAAAAGGGTTTGTTTTTGGTGCTGATTACAGCCCACTGCTTGGTTCTGGGTGAAGGCATGTTTGGCACACAGCCCCGTCTCCCTTCCGAAGAACACACTTGCTATCCTTTACTTCCCGAAGGTTTTTATCTGCAGCTCAGATTTGCTATCAGATACCAAGCCTTGATTTGCTCTCATAACCATGAAAGCTTAGCTTTTTCTTCCTAAATGCAATATCCTGATTTCAGCAGGTGGTGGGAGCAAAACACAGTGCAATATGTAGAGTGCACGTTCAGCTCATCTCTTCAGTACTAAGTTTTCAGATTGCAACAGGCTCCAGAATGCACATTTGCTTTGCAAGATATCCCTCTCTGTATTTTCCCCCCGAGAAAATTTCATTGCTGGTTTCACCCCATCTTTTTGTGCATGTCATGTTTAGTTGCTTGAAGAGTAGGAAAACTCAATTTTTTTCCTCTTCCCCCTGAACTTCCCTGCTTTCCCTCTGCTCTGGGGAAAACCCTTCTGTTGCAGACATGAGTCCCTGCAGAGTTGTGACTGCATTGCCCAGCTGCAGGAACAGGAGCAGTTCAGATGCCAAAATGCTTTGTTTCCCTTATGGTGGTGGGATGGTGGGCATGAGGGAAGAGGGATCTCCATTCTCAGGGAGGATGTTCACGTGGAAGGGAATGAACAGGCTTTGTCCTGGCCAGTTTAACCAGTATTTGCATCCACCCAGCAGAAAGCTATGCCCTTTAGTCTCATGCCACCTCTGCACTCACTGCAATAGTGCAGCCACTGACAGAGCTCCCAAGGGAACAACCAGCCCCCCAGGTGCCCATGTGCAAGGCTGTTAGGTGTTACTGATTTCTCACATTGGCATCCAAAGCTGGAGGCCCTGTGTGCTGCAGCATCATCAGCATGAGTGAGAGGTGGTGGGAACGGTCCTGTGACGGGTGTGCTGTGTGTGATGGATGGCTCTGGGCTCTCCATGCCAGAGATGCAGGGCAGGTTACAGGCCGTATGTACTGGTGGGCTGGATGGAATGGAGCTTACATTTAGCAATAATGTGGTGGGTGCAGATTAAGTGTCAAGGAAATAAAGTAGTTATCACTGTGGGAGTCTATCATACGCCACCCAGGCTGGATGATGATGCTAATTTGTTTCTGGGTTGGTTTGGATTCAAGAGGATGTCTCAGGAGTGAAGACGAACAAGTATGCACTCATGGCAGCTCTGAGAATCATAAGTTTTATTTGACACACGCACACATTCATACACTTAGATAACTCTGTATGCAGCAAGCAGAAGTTCCCCAAGCAGGTAAAAATGACTTACCGACCTCCTAGAGATGGACACAGTGCTGAGCAGGAGGATGAGATGGAACATGCCTGCGGTGGTTTCACTAGGTATTGCCCATGGTGCATCCCCCGTTTCAAGGTGCACTTGTCCTCCCGGGATCCACTGCAACCTCCCTCCTCTTTTTATTCTCTCCCAGTGTCTGCAGGGCTTTTTTACTTGGACACTGCAGCTGCGTGGCCAGCATAGGATACAGAGGCACAGCAGAGCAACTTCCTGCAAAACAAGTTCAGCTTCTTGCAAAACAGTGTAAACCTGCAAGGTCAGCTTCTTGCAAAACAAGCTAAGTCAGCTGTAAGCACTTTCCCGGAGTCCTTTGTTCCAATTCAGGAGCATTCTTTGGTCAGAACCTTCAGATCCCTGGCACATGCCGCTGCATGTTCCTGGTTTGGAATATGCACTACTTTTACTGCAAGTCCACAAAAAGCACTTTGCACAGCTTGTTGTACAAGTTGCAAGAAGCGTGAAATATTGCACAGAAGAGTGAGGAAATACAGGTCCAAGATACAGCCTACCTGTATTACCTTTTCCTGCAGTCCTCATCCCCAGTCCCAGGCTGAAAAAGGATTCCATCCCAAGGACTCCTGCAGCTGATCAGCGAGATCCCTTAACTCATCTAGGTTTGGAATGGATTAGGAATGGTCCAAAAGTTTCATGCAGCAGAGTCCATCAAAGTCCTGGCATTTATGGCCATGGCTGAGCAGTGGGAAATCGACAGCTGCAGTGTTCCGAAGTGAGGTGGTCCTAACACTGCCTACATCTATGAGAGTTTCCAAACAGCAAATGAAGCAGCACTGCTAAATTTACCAAGCCAGCAAGATAACCTACTCAATTGTGTTAATGCTGCTGCCACACCTGAGCCTGGAGTGCCAAGGCAGCCACGGCAATGGTTTGGGCAGCAGGTGCAGCTGTAAACTCAAATTTACAGTCCAGCAAGAAAGCGTAAAATTCCCACGTGGGTCACCAAGTCTGTGTTTTTTTTCCACTGCCATGCAATCGCCATGGTGATTTTGGGCATAATAATGAGTCATTCACTGGTACATGGCCCTCCCAGGGCCCCAGCAGGTACGACTGCCCAAACCTGGTCCCCACAGATAAAAAATCTGCCCTTTGGCAGGGACACTGGGGTGTTGTAGCCAGTTGAAACATTAGTTGCAGCGTGATTACAGCACAATGAGTCATTCAAATAACTCAGCTTGTTGCGTAGGCAACTGTAGTTGGGGCTCCACCTCTTGGGCAGCTGGCGGTGTGCCAACAGCCTATGTCAGGCATGGAGTTGGTACACTAGTCAGCGCATAGTGTCACCAGGATCCAGAGATCCTCAGGAGCAAGAACTGGAGACTCCCCAGCGCATGGCAGGAAAGCCATTTGTTCTTGCCATTCAGGCTGTTCTGGAGTACACAAGAGTCATTTTCAGTCAGTGGTACTCCAGCCAGGCAGGTCAGGAATTGGGTTTGTCGGGGTTGCAGTACTTACACATAGCGTATCTTGTCCGGTTGCATTAGCCAAGGTAACCCGAACATTGCTTCCAGAATTGCAGTACCTGTAGCAGGAAAGAACAGGATGAACACAGACTAGTGTTGTGTCCCACCCCCTACTCCCCTCACCCCAAGAACCTCCCCTCCTTTGGAGATGGTGGGAGGGCACTCGATGCCAGACACCTGGTCTCCTATTTGAGTTTGTTTCATCTCCCTCACCCAGCAAGGCTTTGCTGGAGAAGATTCTTCCCTTAAACCCATCACAGAATCACAGAATTGTAGGGGTTGGAAGGGACCTCCAGAGATCATCGAGTCCAACCCCCCTGCCAAAGCAGGTTCCCTACAGCAGGTAATGGTTTCCACAGGTTTCCACAGCCAATTTCTGCTTCCAATTGATTAGAAGAACTCAATGCAAAGAGCATCAGCAAAAGTTTATTATCGTTACGGAGATATTCCCAGTGGCAGCACTGGATGCTGGGATGGTGCATGGGGATAATCCTCCTATCACGCATAGCTTACACAAGAGGTCTTCAGTTTATATATATGACTTGTGCTACATCTGCAGAACTTTTCACAGAGGTACTCTACATATGTGGAAGTTTCTCAGAGTTATGTTACATATGCATGTTTTCCCAGAAGTATGTTAAATATTCAATGATTGATTCCAGGCAGGACCTGCTATTTCCTTGATACAAAGACTCAGTAGGACTTCCTTATCTCCTTGGTTCAGAGTCACAGCCCTTTCTGTTATCTAAACAAATTGCAGGGCACTGTAGTAAGCTTAACTGTATTGTGATAAGTTGTATCATGTTAAAGCAGATCAGTCTCACAGTGTGCCTCCTCATTTACAATGCTGCATCACAATTATCATCCATAACATCTAAAGGCTACCGTGGTGTTGCAAGTGTTACCACAACAATCTTATAAGGATATACTAACGAATATTTTGTAATTATTTCTTAAATCAGCTCCCCCCTTTTTCAATAAGCTTCTTTTGCAAAAGCTCATATTGCTCATGCTTAATCACTGTTAGGCAATGCACGAAACCTTTGAATTAATTTCTTAAGTTTATACTAAAAGAAGCAGATTAGATTGTTAATATCAGACTTCTCACTAGCAGCACTAATAAAACACTTTTGATAATATCAGGGAATACCCTACAAAGATGTCCCCAAAGATGAAGAGCTCCCCTGCCTCAGTTTGCTGTGAGATCTGTTTCACTTCGTTTTGGGGAATCATCGTTTTCACTAAGGATTCATGTATGGTTTTATTAAGCCTTTGAATATATTCTTTAAGCAATTCTCTCTGACTCAAAATTTGACAGACATGTGCAGTTGTCAATAAATTCCCAATATTTTGCTGATTTGTTGTTCCTCTTGCTCACAGAAATGAGTACCCCTGCCTGATGGTATCATGACACGTATCCCAAATTGAGGTATTATTTCATTCAGTAATACTCATGTAACTTCTCTCACCTTATTTGACAAGCTTCAGGCCAACCTGAAAAAGTGTCTGTCAGCACCAGTAAATACTGATACTCCCATTTTCTAGAAAGCTCTGAAAAATTTATTTGCCGTTGTTTTCCTGGAACATTCCCTGTCCTGATAGATCCCACTCGTACCCTGTTCCAGTATTAGGACTGTTCTTCAGACAGATTTCACACTGTTGAATAACCTGTTTCATTCTGCTATACAGATCACAACTAACAGTGACTTCCTTCAAATACTTATAAAGAGCCTCTACTCCCCAATGTGTTTCATTATGTTTCTTTAGAACCAATTTCCATAGGATGTACATATCCATCAGGTATGTATGTATATATATATATATCCCTTGTGACCAGGTCTCCAGTTTCCTTCCAGAGAGAGTCCTCATCTTCCCTGGCCTTCCATCTATAGAATCTTCTCATTCCTCTTTATGTCCCTGGCTAGATCCAGTTCTATCTGGGTTTTACCTATCCTAACCTAATCCATGGCTGCTCAGACCACTTCTTTGTAGGAAGAAGTCCCCCCACCAGTCATAGAACCAGGCCGAACCAGCCCATAAACCATGGACACCTTTGAGCTCTGAGTCATCCAGAAAAAGGATTGACAGTGTGTTCTATGCCATCATAAAGCAAGTTAGTTAATGAAAACATTCAACTGTGTTGGACCAGTTACCAGTCACTGAGGGATTGTGGTTTTAGTGTGTGACCTATGAACATATGAACTCTGTATCACTGATGACATTAGGCCCTGATTATCTAGCTAGCTTCCTGCCCACAGGATCTTCCATGGATGCTGATGGCCTGGACAGTGCTGATTTCTTCCTAATATCAAATGTCAGACCTCCCCACTTCAAATTTAAATAAAATCCCGCTAGTCCTATCAGTATCTAGCAATCTAGCCATTTAGTGATATCTCAAAGGTGTCAGTGGTTTATCAGCAGGTTCGGTCCATTGAGTCTGAGGTAACAGTTGCCACTGCTGCTGAAACCGTTGCCACGGCTGCTTTGGCACCCCAGCCCCATCTCCCATACATAACATCTTTGCTGCTTCATTCCGAGCATCATCACTGAGCAGTGCCTAATAGAACTTCTTCCCTGGTCAGCTGGCTGCCTCGGTTTGAGGCCTGATGGCAATGATGTAATGATGGCAGGCTTAGTATTGCTGTTCTCTGCTCATCAGGGTATGCTTTGGAAGAAAGCAGTTTGTTGGGTTTTTTTGTTTCTTGTTTGTTTTTAACTCCTATGAAATGTGTATATGCCATATATATATACATGTTATGAATTTTACCATTTGCAGTGCTGAGAATTTTTGTGACTCACTACCATTTGTAGTGAGTGAATTTTTTTTAGAAAAGTTACACTCAATTAAGGAGGTGTAACAAGGACGTGAAAGAAAGAGCGCTCTCTCCCAGTTAATGTGTAGGCAGCTGATGTGACTGCCTCTGTCCTCAGCAACTTGCTGGAAGGAACCCCACAAAGCATTTCAGTGCAGGGCTGCTGAGGGAAGCTGTCAGAACAGGCGCCCTCTGTCCTCTCGCAGAGTGCTGGGATGCTTTTCCAGCTGACTGACGGCTGCTTTGGTTGTGGCCACAGCTCCTGAGGAGTGCAGCAGTGTTGAGAGCTGAGAGGAAACGGGGGAATGTTGCACTCCCTGGAGGATCCTGAGAAATCAGTGACCCAAAGCAGGTGCTAGAGAGGGGCTGCAGGGTGCTATCATGGCAGCCGAGCTCTGCTTCTGGTAGCACGATGGACTGCGCCTCTGATAAGACGACTGCAATCATAGAGTGAGCAGTGGCAGCAGGCACACGAAATCTGCAGCACTGTCTCTCTCCACTTTCAGATTTTCGGTCCAGCCCACAGAGCGAAATGAAGTAGAGGAGGGAGAAAATGTGCTAATAGTTCTTGCTTGGTTCTTATTGCAGAGCAAATGATTGCCTGCTGTCTGGCAAACCTTGCGCAGAAGCACTGATGCTTTTGCATAATGTACTCCCACCCTTGTCCCCTGCCTGAGACAGGACGTAGGACACCCACAGCCTCTGGGCACCCTGGTCCAGGGCTTTGCCACTGCTGGGTGAGGAATTTTCTCTACACATCTACCTCAATTTCCACTCTTTGAGTTTAAAGTCATTCCCTCTTGTGTTACCGCTGTCTGCCAAAGCCAAGTGGCACACAAGGTCTGGTAGTGGGTCAGGTAATGACATGACAACAGTACGTGGGCAGCCGTGGTGTTATTTTCTATTTATTGGTACCGAGGAGCCTGGAAAACTCTGGTACATGACAGCAGTGGTTCTGTGGATGTCAGATGGTGTCTGTAAACCCACATGCTGGGGGTGCTCCCACCTCCTGATAGATGGTAGAGGTGGGGGGAGGGCAGATGCAGTGCTGGGGGGTGCTGGGGCTGCTGGACCAGGTCTGTTTCCCACTGGCAGTGGTTTTCCAAGTGTCTGATGAAGCCTCCAAACTGACACCATGGGGAGGCCGCTCCCACCTCTTGAAGGATGGTGGAGGGGAGTAGGAGGATGGTACCCAGGGGGCCAATGCTGGACCACTCACACTTCCCCAGCAGCAGGTGTTGGACTGTTGGATAATTCCCCCAAGCCAACACCCTGGGAGGGCCAATGCCGTCCCCTAAAGGATGGCAGAGAAGGAGGAGAGCAGTGGGGATACCTGAGAGGGCCATTCCCATCCCCTGAAAGATTGTGCCTTGGAAGGTGGGGGGCTGCTGGGCCGGTTCTTTACAATGAGAGTGGTGAGGTGCTGCAACTGCTGCCTGAAGAGGCTGTAGATGCCCTGTCCGTCCCTGGAGGTGTTCAAGGCCAGGTTGGATGGGGCCCTGGGCAGCCTGGTTTAGTATCAAATGGGAAGGTTGTGCAGGGAGTTGGGAGATTCATGATCCTTGAGGTTCCTTCCAACCCAGGCCATTCTGTGTGATCTGTGCGGCTTCAATTCAGCATACACACCCTCACACACATGCAGGCATCCATTGCAGATAACCCCAGTAAGCGACAAGCAGAAACTCCCTAAGCTAGTGCATTATTACTTACCAACTGCTGAGAGAGGCCAAACCACTGAAAAGGAGAAGGACCATGCTGGTGTTGGATGCGATAGGCACTGCCAGCAGGGAGTCAAACGCTTCAAAGGACACTTCTCTCTCCCCCAGTGCTTCTATCTGCAGGGTTCTTTCCACTTGAACGCTATACACACGTGGCCAGCACATGATGCCTGTAATGACAGAAAGGCAGGGTGGTCTTAACTATAACTTGAGATGTTTGAGTTATTGGCTCTACCACCTGTCATGCAGAATAAGCAGCCAATAACTGTTTTTCAATCACACTGTACCTTTCTTCTGCTCTGTAACAAACTTCAGACCAGAACCCAACTTGGATTCAAGCGGAATTTTGGCACTGCCATAGACGCTAGCCAAACCCATCTTGAGTTGCATGCATCTGGTTCAGCTGAAAGAGTGGGACCAAATATAACCAGTGCCTGGGCCTGTTTAACAGCTGGTTTTGCTTGCTGGAATGCCTGTTCTTCCCTTCACCTCCAGTCCCATTCTTGGCCTTTCTTTGTGAGCAGACACAAAGGCCGCAGCAGCTGCGCTAGGTGGGGTATAAAGGAACAACAGTATCTCAATATACCCCCAAATTCCTGCAGCTGCTATGGCCTGGTAGGGACCTGGGAACACCTGAACATCGTCTGTTATCGCACTGACCAAATTACATCCAGGAATTTTACCAACAAACCTGGTCCTTGCACTTTTGTGGGTTCACAGCCCAGTTTTTCTTCTAAGTGAGCAGTTAATGAGTCTACTGCCTGTTCTAATGCCTCCAGTGAGGCACCATTCTCCACAAATTCTAACAACAAAAACTCAGATCTCTCATCCATGGTCATGCACAGAAATGAAGCACACATAATATACAAATGGAAGTGAATGTCACTGGGATTGTACCAGTGTAACTGCCTTTCCCACCTGCTATGGCTGATGCAAACATGAGTGACTGTAGGGTGGATGAGGAGAGACGCATCCTGCTCACCCCTCCTCCCTCTTCCCCCCACCTCCAGCTTCTTCCCTCAGCTCCCTTCTTCAGCCTGGCCTTGCTCACAACGCCCTGCACAGGAAGGCAATGCACAACACAACAGGTAACGCTCTGGCTAAAACAGATTAACCACCATAGATCTGTCTCAAAAAGGGGACTGAAAGAACCGATAGCAGAGCCCTGCTTCAACAGCCGGGGCAAAACTGAGCATGTTCTGAGCCACTATTTGATCACTACATGATAACAACATTATATCAACAAATATAATTCCTCCTTCTCTCTTAGAACTGAAATGCACAGCATAGCTGTTGCCAGCCCCAGCTGCCAGCCAGACAGAGGCAGAAACACCTTGCAAAAGTTCCTTCCCTCGCCTTGCAGCTCTTCTCCCTGCTGGGCAGAGCTGAACTTTCTGCTGCCAGTATTTCAGCCTCTGCCCGCCTGACAGCACAGGGCCTGAAGGCTCGCGCTGGATGCGTGCCAGCTGCAGCCATCCGCACCAAAAATGCCTCGGCGGCTGCATCTCCCTCCTCCCCCACCAGG